ATGTGGATGCAGCGAGTGCGCCCATTCTCAACTCGACAGACTCGCGCGTCAAGAAGATCCGAAGGGACGTCAAGAAGCAGGTACGACGTGCTGTGTCGTACATGTGTTGCTACAAGCGTCGAGTAGATTGGTGAAGCGTGCAACCAAGTGGCCAACACGCCCAAATCCATCAAGCTTGTGGTCGCCAAGCTCTGCAAAGTGCTCTCGGTGCGTCGCCCCGTTTGTGGTGCGTAGATTGACGTGTGCGGTGTAGGAGGCCCGGGCTGCAGGCCCCGAGTACCTCAACTTTCCTCTCGACATTCTCGCAACGCGCCTCACGTCCCAAGTCAAAGTCCTCACCGAAATCCGGTAGGCACCACGTGACGCGACGGCTCCCTGTACACGTAGATACATAGGTCGTGCTTCCCGCTCGCCCATGTTGCGGCCATGTGCAGCGTGCACACGCCAGACTTGCCGACATCTTTGTCGCGCACCTCAACCAGGTGCGCTCTTCTGTCGTTCGACTCGCTTCTATTTGGAGTCCCGCGGTAGATTTGCCCGTTTACGGTGCCGTTCTGCCCGATGCGCCGTCCGGACCAAGTCCGATGGCTCTGCTGAAGCTGGTTGCGCTCGTCGCGTACGCAGCCATGGCCGTGCTTGGTCAAAACCGCCACGTGCGCGCTGCTAGTTCGAGTGAAGAGTACGCAACGCCGGTCCTGACGCGCCCGACCTTCCGCCTCGAGCTCTTCGACAAGCTCGTGCAGTCACTCCATATCGTGCGCATTCCCAATCAGCCGCTGAACGCGACCGAGTTCAACCGCACCGTCCTCGTCGTCGAAGACTTTGTCCGCAACCGCACGCAGCTTGCGGCGCTCAACGAAACTCTCGTGCGCTCGTACCTCTGTCGCCTCAACGCGACCGAGATGATCTCGCTCTTCGAAGTCGTGTCCAAGGACCTCACGATGTTGCCTGTTGGGTTTGCGTACGTCGGTCTCGTCGCGGTGATTGCCGCTATCGTTATGGACGTCAGTAGTGCAAAAGACCACACGGCGCGGGCCACGCTTGATGGAAAGGCCGACGACGAAGAAGCGAGCGATGCGGCAAAAGGTGGACGACGTCCCCAACACCAAGGACGCGCTCGACCTGTCATCAGCGACGTCTTTGCAGATGTGGTATCTTTCTCGTCCGGAAGCTCAGGCTCATCGACTGTCTGTTAGCTTGCGTGGCCATCATCCGAAGTCCAATTGGATCGCCAATGCACCCACGCGCAGTCGGGCTCGGCCTGAGCATTTTTCAAAACACCGAGGCTCTATCCCAAAACACATAAATATTTTCCAAAACACATCGTTACCGAGCCGCGCGACTCTGTCGCGGTCATGGCGTCGTCGGCGTGCCAGGTACGCTCTTCATGGTTCGGCAAGCGTCACACGCGCTCTGTGCCGTCGATGGTCCATCCCAAGAAAAGTTCTTGCAGCCGACGCCGATGTTTCTATTTTTAGATGTTAAAAAAATCGAACGCGCGCGAAACGGGTCACTTGGTATTTGTATGGTCGCTCAGGGATTGGTCATTCCCGAATTTGCCGGCCGATGTCAACACGCTCAGGTACGATGATGCGCGGCCCGGCCACTTTTGACGGGCTCGTGGCCCATCTGGACGCGTTCTATGGCGTGCGCGGCCCGACGAAGCGGCAAGTGCCATTCCGCGACGTCTTTGACGCAGCCAAGACGACGCATCTGGAAGACCTTCCAGCGAGCCTCTGGCCCGTGTGGGATGCACTGGAGCGCTACTGTGATGTATCGACGTGGCAGCGGCTTGTCCAGGACCACAGCGACGCCAAGGGCATGTGTGCGAGCGCGTACGTCCTATAGGTACATGGCATCCTATCTCATGGATACGTAGGATCCGCCGCGCCCGCAACCGAAACCTCAAGAACGACGCGAGGGTCGCTGCGGTGTATGTACTTTTCATCATGCATCGAATGGTTTATGCTCACAGACGCTGTAGAGCCAATGAGCCCGGAAAGGCCGGAAGGAAGCGCTGCGCCGACGAATCCAATATGTACCAGTAATCTTTCCTCCCGAAAGCAGGTGGTTCTAACCCTTATGTATGCGTAGGCAGCGGGAGACGAAAATGCCGAGGCCAGAAAACCGCCGTCGGTGTTGCGAAACAACTACTGGCGGAGATGGATGCCCACATGGGCCACGTCCTTGCCATGCAAGCCGAGCTGCGCCTTGGCCAGGTGGCGATTGCGCGCCACGTGACCACCGAGCGCGTCGCGACGGCGAAGGCCATCGAGGCCGTAAGTTTGCCATGACTACATACGCAACTGGTAAGCGTGCTGCGTAGGTTCGGAAGCACAAGGCCGAGCTGCCCGCGATCTATTTGTCGCATTGCATTTTGACGCGAGATGGTCGACTTGCCGATCGCGCGTCTTGAGCCAATGCCCGACGAGTTTGATGGCGATGTCTATCTTTACGTCCGCGACACGGTGTCGGACAAAGTCATCGTGGGTGACCCATACCCCCTGCGCGTTCCGCACGGGGTATGGTACCGCGAGGCGCTCAAGGGCGCCATCAAAGGTGTCATGGCCTGCTTGTTCCCGGCGGTGGCGGTCGGTGCCGCGGTAGCATCCTTAGCGATGCTTGCGCCCCAGGCATCCGGCATGGTGCGGTCAGCCAAGCTACTGACGGACAAGGTGGTCAGCTGGATCTTGCCTGTGCCGTCTGCCCAAGATGCCCGCAAGGGCTTGCGAGATCATCCAGCTCGGCGATCCGCAGCGAACGTACGGTGGCAGCAAGACGGTCGTTAACCAAGACGGCGACAAGGTCCTCCGCGGCACTGCCGAAAACATCGCTGCTTATGAGCGCGAGATGGCAGCGAAGTCCACCAACCGCATGACGTAGGACCCAATTTTCCATTTGTAATATAAGCTGCTAACAATTGTCCACCAATCATGTCGGTCTCTCATCTCGTATCGACAGTGTTTGACGACCATCTCCAAACAATGATGCGACGACGACTTCCAATGTATTGTTGGTTGTGATAGCGGCAAAGCAAGTGCTTCGTATACGTTGGGGAGCTCGTTCATGTTTTCCAATCCTCGACGCACTTCTTCCCACACGGCGTGCGTGGAAGACAATACGATGGTGTCGGAGACAAGTAGTGCGACGACAGCAAAGATTTGGTTACAGCACTCGACGACTCGTATCGTAGACGTCGTAGTGCGTGAGGTAGTGCAGCGTGACGGTGACGCGGTCGTTGATGTCCATCGTATTGTGGTGGTGCAGTGGTGGGTGCGCGAGCGGCCAGGCAGACACGATGTTCATGCAAATGCATTCGAAGACGAAGCGCGTACACCGAAGATGGCGGCCAAACCACGCATCCAAGGACGTGTCGTGCTTGACAGTAGACCGCGTGACGCTTGGAATGGTGTACAGTACCGGTTCATGGGCAACGCGCGAAAGCTGCGGCCGTCGAGCTTCGAGAAGACGACCACGAGACGGGATGTTTTCTGGCTTCTGATTGGCTGTCGCCTGTCTCACAAGTTACCGTACGCGATTTTTTTTTCTAAGCGACCATTTGCCGCGTGCCAGAGTGCGCGCTGCTGGTGTTCACGAACATGACGGGTTTTCGCAAGCCCGAATCCAACGCAAACGTGGCGGCGAGGGTGGTTGCATGGAGCTTTGTGCATTTCATGCGTGCGACATAGACATCAACGAGGCTGCTGGTCGTGAGCAGCTACCGTCGCACTGGGATTGGCATCGGACCCGATGCTTCTATTTTGGCTTGTATACATCAATGGTCATGAGATGGCCTTCCTGTTTAGATACGTCTTATCAACGAAACGACAAAGCTCGCTTGCGCTGCCACGTCATACACTTGTGGTCTGCGATGGCGTGGCGTGTTTTTATCCTCCTTACGAATGACGTGGAGATTTTGGTCGCGTATCCTTATTCGTCAAACTCGCACGCCCTCCCATTCTAGTATTTATGGAGCGATTTCCTGCGTCATGGCGCTCGGTCGCGGCAAGGCCCGCCGTCACGACCTGTTCAGGTTCCTAGCATTTCCGTGTGGCTCGGCGATAAGGATGGCGTGTGTCTTGCCGGCGTCAGCAGAGCGTGTCGACGTTGGCCACGGGCTATCGGTCACGAAGGACGAAAAAAGGGAAGCACAATATTGCAATACGCAAGAACGACGATGCAAGCTCGGCGTCGAGAGACAGGTCGAGCGTTGATGAGATGTACGTATATGTAGAGTGTGGCGGCAGCGACCGAAACGTGGACGCGCCGTCGGATCGGATGCGACCGTAGCACTAGCCGTTCTGGCCGCGCAAGCGCATGATGATGCGGCGCTCAAGTTGCTAGATATCGCGCCATCGCTTGCAGCGCCGTACACAGCTCATAGATCTTGCATCTCGGAGGCGATTCCGCGGCCGACGTGCGAGAGAGGCCGTCGAGAAATTGGCCAGAGCTCCGCCCAAGGGTCGACTCGGTGGCTCGTCACGCATCGATAGGCTGCGCCATACCTACAGCGGCGTCGTGTGAGCGGCTCGGCCTGAGGCCTGCGCACGGCTTGCCACGTACCACGTATCTGTGCTGTTGGCGATGACGGGTTTGAAAACTGCGGCAAGAACACTGGTGATTGGCTCGAAAGTGAGATCCTTCCCCCTCTGATTGGCTGAAACGCTTTGGCTTGGCGTTGACAAAAATGAGGAAGGCCGACGAGGAACGCTGCATTGTGACCGGCGATACCTCATCGCTCGGTCTGTAAGCGTGTGCTTACAGACTGTTGATAAAGTCTCCTCGAGCACAATGCAGCAGCGTCAGTGGTGCGCGAGTAGCCTCGACGTCGTCTTTCTGGAGTCTGTTGTCGTTGTTATTGGCGTTCGCCATTTACAACCATTAATAACCATATTTGGGTAACCACAGGCCCGCCGCGCCGGCGGATCGACCAAGATGAAATTTGAAAACGAAATCGCCCATACTTGCCAGAGTGCTAGACAACACTTTGAGGAGTTTAAAATGCTATGTAATGTCGCCGTGCGACCTCTGTAGCGAGAGCAAATGACAGCGGCCAACACTAGTTCGATATAGTGTGTTTTTTCGCTATACTGAAATACTGTTCGGGATACATGGCCTCATCACGCAGCGATATCGCGCGCACTTTGCCTCCCTCGGCCACATGCAACACGCTCCCTAACACGAACAAAAAGAGACGGCGCCTTCGGTTTCCACGACTTCGATGCATTTTCCACCGAAATTACATGTCGTATTCCGTGAAAACCGACGCTCGGCAGTTCGAGTTTGGTGTGAGTGCCCAAGCAACGACGGCGCTAAAAAAACTGGTCGCACACCGGGTCAAGACCCATCGCCAACTGTGGCAGCCAGTCTTACGGTCCTTGGAGCTTCGGAACCCCGCGATGTCACGTGAAGTATATGAGCAATTCTGCCGGCACCTCGAAAAATGGAAAATGGATTTGCGCGTGATTGCGCTACGTGCTGCGTCGGAAACGACATGTACGTCGTTCATATAGTGTGTGGTATGTATTCACGGCCGCTACGTGGCGCTGGCGCGTCTGTGGGCTGCTACTCGTCGTTGTGCTGAATAGTGGTCACACTATTTAAGACGAGGTCATATCAGAGTCATGTGATTGGCTATAAAGAATCAAAAATTGAGCCAATAAAACATCCATGCCAGATCGAGTTCTAAACCGATCCGCAAGCACAAGAAGTGGTGTCGACGCGCGCGATCATCGGGAAGGTCCAGCGCGACGGGCGGCTGCACGAAGAGGCAGAGCGCGCTGCCTTCCTCGAGAAGCGCAAGCGGACCTCGACATGAGGCCCTCAAGAAGACCAATCCGACGCTATCGACCTCTTTCCGCCCGATGAGACCGCGCCGCCGCCAATCGCCAGCCGCAAGAAGTACCCAGACGAAGGCATCGTGCTCGGTCGCGCGCTGAGCCCGGCCTACTGCACTGCCAGAGTAGGTCATTGACGACCTTGTCGTCGTGCTCGGACTCTCGGTGCTCATGCTGCGCTCGTCCCCGGTTTCGCCCTTGTCGATATCGTTTTTACGCGACTGATCGTTCGCGCGGAAATAGGATATTCTCCGAGTGCCACGTCATAGTAATCGATAGTTACTATCATACCATTGCCATCACACACGTCTTACACATGACATCAATTCACCGCGCGTGCGGCAGAAGTGACGCCGAGCATAGTGACCTCTAACCTCTCGTTCCAATTGACCAGCAGCATGCGATGGCTCGAGACGCAGTAATTCCATGAAAATGAAGCACATAACTATTCCAGTGGAAGGAGAGATCGCGCGACTACAAGTGTAGAAGGCAACGACGTGCGAATGCGGCAGCCTGTTTTCAGCGCTTTCTTGGGCGATATTCTATCTACTACGACAAGTATCAAGGGATACGGCATTTTTGGCGACCAACAAGAGGCACATAGTCGCGTTGCCACCATCTAGTATATCTAGCTCGAACTGAGGAGCGGGAGAGCGCGGGCCAGGTGGTGCGCCGACGGATGCAACGTCATCGCCGCTTGGATGTCGCTGCGCCGGATGACCAGCATCCTCCACGTCTTGATGTCGAAGACGTAGTAGTCGCCTTGAAAGGTGCAGACAAGAAGGCCCGTCAAGGCGGCAGACGCAAAGTCCAGGTAGTAGACGCGGTCGTAGACCCAGCCTCTTCTTTCAAAGAGGTACTTGGCGCTGCACGACACCAAGCACGAGTCGCGCTCGTTCAGCGGTGGCAGCACATGCCACGCTCGATCCAGCACGTACATCAAGATGGACCCGCCGACCGCGATCCCCACGAGGAGTTGGAATCGGTCGACCGACCCGATCGCGACGACGCCGCTGTGGCACACCATCTCAAAGTCCATTTCCACAATTTCGCACGACCGCTGAATCGTTGCACTGTGCGAGACTGGGCTCGTAAAGCTCAAGCCAACCGCAACGAGCCACGCAGTCGTCGCTGTCTTGGCCGTGTAGCTGGCACTGTACTGGCGCGTCCACGCCATGCATACGTCGTCAAAGATGTAGACGAGCCAGCCGAGCTCGCTCGCTGCGAGGATCTTGATGACGTAGTTGGCCACCGACGACACGTCCTCTCGCGACGCAATCATTTGCGTCGTGATCCCATTTTTGTGGAGCTGGAGCGTGGCCGTGCTGAGAATACAGAGCGCTGTGACACTCCGAACCAAGAGCAGCGGACGTCCAATCCACGTCAAGCCACCGACGCGGTTGACTTCAAAGAGGTTGTAGCCCTCGCTCGTGCAGCCATTCGCTAGCGTGTAGAAACCCGCGACCAAGGCGATCGCGGCCAAAACGAACGAGACGTACTGGCAGAGACCTCGGAGGTACGTGGCGACGTTGAGGGGCATCTCGATACTGCTGGCGGCAAAGCGGGACATGGGCGACTGTGTAGAAAGCATCGCCACCGAATGAACATCCCCATGCGCTACGATAGCTTCCCGAGTGCCCACGACCCAATCATACGCGAGTGCGTAGCTCGTATACATCATCGTTGCATCTGACGGGTCGAACAGCACTTGGTGGAAGAGCTCGATGCGGTTGGTGAGCACGTGCCGAGCGTACTGCATGATACCGACCGAGGTCGCGATCACATCCGCTTCGACAAATGTCGCTCGCGATCGATAGGCTTGCAGGGAGCTCGTGGGAAAGTAGGTCGAGACAAAATTAGAGACACTGGCGAGAAAGGCGAGGCATTGGGCTGGCGCAATGACCTCGGCGGCACAGGCGAGAGGAATCAAGTTTGTTGGGTCGAGCGCGATACCCGAGGCAACGACGCTAAAGACGGCTTGCATTTGATTCACAAAGACCCATTCGTTGAAGCTCGTGTAGCACATGGTATCGACGCCCGTAAACAGCGACAAGCCAATGGAAAAGTTAAAGTTGGAGGGAATTTGGCCGCAAAAGAGACTGCCACCGGCGCAGAGGTACGTGCTTCGATCCAAAACACGCGGTACGGGACTCATCGAGTACATGAGCACGAGGCTGGCGTAGTCGTCTTGCATGGCATTGGATTTGCTGCTGGACAGGAGTGTCGAGAGTTCGCTCCTGATGTCGCGCTGCAACTGGGCGAGCGAGGCTGGAAACGACACGTGGTAGAGGTCGACGGCGCCAAACGGCCCCAGACGATGGTGAAACTCGCTGAGAACGTCGTCGAGCGGCGCTTGCAAGGTGATGTTTCGGGTCAAAATCGACGCGAGCGAGGCATTGGCAAAGGCAAAGTGGGGACTTTGCCGCAAGAGCGACTTGCCAGCGATCCCCGACCCATTGGTTGATATCGCCCAGAGGTCACTCGCAAACGTCCAGTACGTCTTCCACGACGTCGACATGGGAATGTGGTACGAGCCATTGTTGGATTGCAGCGTCATGTCATATCTCAAACCAAAAGCATTCTCAATGGAGAACACATCGCGGAGACCGAGCGCCTTGAAGTTTTGCCACTGCGTCGTGTAGGTCAAGAGACCCATCGAGTGCCAAAAGTTGGCTTCACCGACCACCGAGAGGCGGTCGAGAGTAGTGAGTGAGGTGAGCCAGGCAGCTCCGTTGGGCTTGAGCGAGGGTACATCTCTCGCGACTCCAATCTCAAACGACGTGCCCCAGCACGACTCGAACGTGGGCCAGTCGACATTTCGAAGAATCGACTCCAAGTAGACGGCGCCGTTGGTGCGGTACTGGGCGTTGCACCGATTTTGGCGGGCGAGAGAGTTGGCCATCTCAATGTGTCGATCCAAGTCGAGCCAGCAGTAGCTGGTTGCGATCCACGGCGCTTGACACGCGTCCATGGTGCGAAGCCCTTGGATCATCATGGGAAGATCGCTACCCGACTCGTACTGGATGCGGCGCGCGTAGACGCGGGCGTACGAGATCAATGTGTTGGGTGTCGCGTAGTCAGTCAAGTCGGCAAACGCTGGAACGTCCAGCCGCGTCGCTGCCTGCGTTGCGTTGAGCATGAGGCAACGGTTGAACCAATTGGCGAGAAAGCTCTGAGTGCCAGTGGCATTGTACGTTGACCACCAGAGATCATTCGCTAAATTCACAGTGGAGAGTTCCAGGTACGAGAGGCTGCCGACAACACTCGCAGCGAGGTAGAGCAGACCACTCCACACCTTGAGCTTCGCAACGCCTGAGCTCGCGACAGCAACCACACCTGGCGTTGTAGGTGTCAGATTGGCCAGTGGCTTGGACGGAGATATCGGTCCCGCGTCGTTGTAAAAGAACAGCCACAGCTTTGTATCAAAGATGCACCGAGCGGACTTGAAGCGGAAGCGCAGAACGCCGCTCATGGCCGCAATTGACGCGTCCAGCTTCCACATGTTGGTTTCCTTGGGTGCCAAGAAGGCCTCGGCGCCAGCAGAAACCAGGCGGGCAAGGGGCGACTGCCGCGATGTGTCCCTACCACTCGGCGGCTGCCGACACCGAGAGGCCCCAACAACACTGTACGAGAGCACGAGAGCAATGCCATTGATACCCAGAATGCGCCAGGCGTGGGCCATTGACCCGAGGTCGACAGAGCCACTGGTGCACGTCACGATAGCTCCCATGTCCACACGGGTGCAGACGCGATCAATTGCCGCAGTCGCTCGAAGCGGGTGGAAGATCTCGAGTAACATGAGGCTCAGCCACACCAACGCGCCACTGAGCGGCGCCGCCCATTGAGCGTACTCGTGGGCAACGACCAGCAAAATGTCGTTGAGGACGTACGTCACCCACGTGGCTTCGCTCGCGAGAATTCCAACGTGCATCAACGGACGCGGTGCAAAGCGGAAGCGGGCTATGCCATCGGTATTGAGGAAATCCAGCGGCGCCGTGCTCAGCATGGTGATGGCGGCAGCCGCGCGGAGCAGCAGCAGCGGACGACCGACCCAGACAGGTCCCGCCACGTGATTGTACAGAAGCAAGTGAAGGCCGTCGGCATCTCGAGCGGGCTCGAGGAGAGCGTACGCTGCCGTGATACACGCCACGCTCACAAGGGCGGCAGACGTTAGAATCGCGACAAAGTAGAGGTAGTTGCACGTGCTTTTGGGCACTTCGATGGCTTTGGCGCGAAACGGAGTCGGCTCGATGCGCTCCGACATCAAATTGAAGGTCGCGACGTCGCCTTGGAACGAGACAACCTCCCGGTACCCGTTGACCCACTCGTGAAGCGCCACGTAGCCCATGAGCGACCACGCGTCATCGCCCACCAACGGCTGGCGCAAGACAGTTTCAGCCCCGCCCGGCGTCATTGCAAACTGCACAATCTCAACGTTAAGTCGTTGGATGGCATTTGCGGCGGCTTGCACCATCGGCGTCAAGAGGCTCTTGAGTGTCGTGTTGCGTAGCAGCGAAGTCGAGATGTCTTCAAGTGCCAACACAAGCGAGTCGCAGGAGGCTATTGTCGCAGCGCTGCAAGGTGTGCAGCTCGGCATCAGCGATTTCTCCAGCAGCTTCATGCTCGTCGACGCAAACAAAGCAGGCAATGGCTGCACGAGCAGTCGACTCGGTACTTGACTGCCGCACGTATCGTCAAACGAAAATGACGGCTGCACAAAGGCCGCGCCAGAGCCAAAGAGGCAGAAAGGACTGCCGCCAAAGAAGGTGTAGTTCCGAAATGTTGTCTGCCACGACAGTGGAACCGGGTCCAGCACCACCGTTGGCAACGCCGCGAAGAGGCTCAAAAGCAATTTGTCAGCTTGGAGCGCCAGCGTCACGGCCGCATCGTACGTAGCATAGGCGGCCACGAGCTCTATCGGGGGTGCCAGGAGCACCATGTCTATGGCCTGCAACGGCCCAACCTGGTTGTGGACCAGGATGCTGGCGGGCGTGAACGGGTACAGCCCGACGAGCGTCTCGATGGTGGCATCGCCCATATAGTTGACGGCGCTGCGCACGAGGCTGCCGTTGACGACGGCGGTGGCCCAGAGATCGTCGTAGAACGCCCAGTTGAGCACGAACGTGGTCCACTTGGAGCTCCGCTCGCCAAACGACACGGATTGGATCGTCAGGTCTTGACGCCACCCGAGCATGTTGACCACCGAGATGGACTCTTGCACGCCAAACTGGTAGTCGTTGCTCCACTGCAGCTGGAAGCGCGAAATCTGGTGCGAATTCCAGTACGCTTCTTCGAGAGCGAGAGTCTCGTATGCGTTCGGAAGACTGCGGTACCACTCGCGGCCTTCGGGCGTTGTCACAATCGCGTCAGAAACCCCAAACTCAAAGCTAGCGCCGTAGATCGCGTACCAGGCGTCCCAGTTGACGTTGCGGAGGTACGCCTCAAGGTACACGGCGCCATTGTCGGCCATCGTGGATGCACATCGCGCTTGACGCGCTGCCGTGTGGGCGACGGCCCAGCGCTTTTCAAAGTCGGCCCAGCAAAAGAGTGTCATGAGGTTGAAGACGTAGCCCGGATCCAGGAGCTGAAACCCAGTAATCGCATCGGCCACCGACGTGTACTCGACCAGCGAGCGCACACGGGAATACGTGGGTTTTGAAAACGCAGTCGTCGATGGCAGACCGTACGTCTTGAGAATGGCTTGGCTCGGGTCGTAGAGATCAATCTCCGAGGCGTTGGTGACGCTGAGGTGGCGGTTGAAGACGTCGATGAGGTACGTCTGGGCCGACGTCGGGTCAAAGTTGGGCCAGAAGAGGTCATTTGCAAGACCCGGACCGATGATATCGAGGAAATAGAGGCTCGCGCCCATGGAAGCGCCGAGATACGTGAGGCCAAGCACGCGCTTGATCGACGTCGGTATTAGTCTCTGAACGCCGTCGTCGCTTTGGAGGATGTGGAGGGTATGGAGTGGCGGGAGATGCATCTTCGTCGTCCAAGACCGTCGTTTCCAGAGGGTAAAGGACTGGATCGCGAAACGCCCGACGATTGCATGACGTCGGTGCTGCGAGAGACGGCGGCGCACGCGGCCAAGGCCAAGAAGCCGCTCTCGGACCTCAACCAGATCCGCCAAGCGGTGCAGTCCCCTCCATCGATTCTTCCTTTCCGATTCGAGTAGATCAAGGGGCTGCAAAAGGACGCGGCCGAGCAGCTCCAGCTCGAGATGGAGTCGCAAGCGACCTTTGCGTACTTGAGCTCCCAGCTGCACGCGCTCAAGCAGGCCTTTGAGACGCTCTCGGACGTGCTTCTCGCCGAGGCAACCAATCCATTTGCATCCCAACGCAGCTATCGATCCTCGTAGGTTGACGGCGTGCGCAAGAACACGAGCAAGCGCCTCGAGCAGCTCGAGAACCAAGTCGACAAGCAAAAGGAGCTCACACTCGCGGCCCAGCGCGAGCTCGAGCAGGCCAAGCGTGCGTGGGACGTCTGGAGCTTGAAAGAGCGGTGTGCCATTTCGAAGAGCGTATATAGATAGATATGCACAATGGACTAGGGACTGGGCCAAGGACAACGAGATTCTAAAGGCGAGCCACAGCCACAACATTGAGTGGATGCAAGCGCTTCAGCGCGACGTCATGGAGACAAAGGACCGCGTGCACGAGCTCCGACACGACCACGCGACGCGAGCCAAGCGTTCTCACTTATCTATTATTAAGATTGAGGTTGAGATCGAGGATCCGTAGACATGGCCGACGAAGCCTCGGACCTGCGGATTCTGTGGCAAAAGCAGGTCGAGAGTCTCCAGGCGCAGCTCGCGGGCTTTGAAGCGTCCGCCGCAACGCACGCTCGCGAGACCAAAATCCACGCGCAGCAGCGACTCGACGACCTGGCCATGATGGAGCAGGCGGTCGCGACCCTCTCAGGCCACCACACACGCCTCGCACACACCCTCGACGAGGGTT